ATGTTTTCAAGTCTATTCTTCGACTACCATCATTGAATTTTAGTTGGAAGGCATCAATTCACCAACTAAATAACAGAAAAAGAAAAGACAAACTGACAGTATTTTACTGGTGTTGCATTCACTTCTACAGGAAAGTCTATCGTTGAGTCTTCGGACTCTTCTCTGTAAAAATGATTGTTGAGCACAATAGTTACAGTACTCTTAGTATGGGTCGGAAAAGCATGTATTGCTCAAAAGTTCTTCGGAGTTTATTTCGCAACACTCAATGACTTTTTGGTCGACCACTGTATGATAGTGGGACCTATTTGTGCTCATTTCTGTTAAAGTTAGAAATATGGAAAAACAAATGTCTCTAGACGATTCCGGTTGAATGGGAATCATTTTTGTTGAACTAAGGTGTACGACGTAAGTTCGTGCCTATTGATCCTTACTTGTACCAAGTAATCCATAAATTACAGCTTGTAAAACTTTAAATCTCCCAACGATTTACCGCCTCATCGTGGCTGGGAGGTGTTCCTGGATGTTGGACCCCGTTGTGCAGCAGTGGACTCATCCTTTGACAGGGTCTCCCAAGCTGAGAAGGAGTCCGGCGTTTATCAGGAAGCCTAACTAAGAGTGAACCAATACCAGGATCCACCATCGTCCTCGTATCAAACTAGCCGCATAGTAACAAGTCTCTCTCTGATCCACAAGGGCGGTGACTGCCTGTGGTGGCGATGATCTGGAGCAGACTTTGGCTAATCTGACCTCGGGACTCCAGGAAGCCGCAATGGTTAAACCAGTAAATTTCCGAAAAAGTAGAATTTATGGTGCAGCCCGCACAACTAGTAAAGTCGGGCCATCCAAGCATCCAAGTCGTCTTGCTCCCTCTTAGATTTGTGCGCGAGTTCACTTACTACTGAAGATATCGTCCTATGATTTTGACGAAAACTTGAGCAAGAATAGCTCGCCCTGGTCATTCGTGGGATAGAATTGGTGTCATCTGGATTTAAGATATAAATGTCGTCTTCTGAGCTTAGGCGGCAATTTCTGTGCCTTCTATCCAAATGAGGAGCAGTCGAGACTCGCATGTTAATGAGTTGTAGAATTCGTGGATGAACTTCATGCAGCATGAGAAGCAAAAATCTCCTCTTTGCGTAACACTAGGAATTATGCCGTATCTATTGGAACTCTGTTCATGCGTGGACTAACATCACGAAGTCGGATGAAATACCTGCATTAATGCCATCATTATAAGATGGCCCCGTGTTTTTCCAAAGGATAACAGAAAAAGAAAGCACAGGGCCAAAGTTCTTCTTTGTGTTTTGGGACGACGTTTGGTTACACCCAAATTTTTTTCACCAGCTCCACAGAAGACGCGGTTTAGATGCAAAGCCGTGATCTGGACACTGCTGTAAACATGAAGAAAACTAGAACGATTAACTTATTGGAATTTTGGCAAATGTCTTGTCCTTGCCGAAATTCGCCATCGCAAACTTCATGAAACGTCTTCTTTCTCCTGTGCCTTTCTGCTCCGCAGTAATAGCTGCCGTTCATCGTTGTAAGAATGTAGTATACTCACTCATTCCATGGACTAAAACGGATCTCTAAACTACCAGAAAATAAAAGGATAAAGGGTAAAGTTCTCGGCGTCGATCAATCCTTGAGGGATGCGCCATGCATTCGACTTCAATAAGCATCGTTGGAGGTGATTGAACGCATATCTGGCCTTTACAATGACTCGCGGTGGCCTACCGATCTATTGAGCCAGTGCTGCTATCCTTGCAGACAAGTCTGGTACCAATTTGCCCACCCCGGAGTGATGGAAGGCTTGGTGAGCCATGGGCGCTGGGAACGATTCCACGTGTATGTCTCAATGGCGCCTCAAACCAGAAGATACGAGAAAAAAATAACCACTTCTTTCTCTCTCACACATCTAACGTTCTTTCGATATGTTTCAGATTCTCATTAGCTTCTCAATGGCTGTGCTTTTCCTTGCAAATAGAAAAAAAACGTTGTTCTTAGAATGACCTTGAAACGTCACACCAGGTTTGTTTTCAGATCAGATAATGATTGATATGAACACACCACTGTTTCACTTACCGTTCAATTGTTGACTGTCTCCTTAACGGAGGTCGTCGCGTGCGTGGCGAACTCTCGTCAACAATTACAGCAAATGTAGACGTCTCGTCTTCGACAAATCTGCGCCAAAAAATGGAATTGCGGTGGGAAGTGGGTGAAAGCACGGTAGTTACAGAAGCAAAATTAGGAATGGCAAGCAAATTATGTCATCGTTAGCAAAGATAGACGTCAGGAGATACAGAAAGTTCGCACAGCTCACACAGATTGAATAATCTCGAGCATCGTTTAATTCGGACGAGTTATCTCGCAAGCCACTTATTTCAGCAAGAAAAATATTTAAACTATTTCCTGTACTGTTAAATTGGGCCTATAATGGTACTATTAGAACTAGTATACCTATATGAAAAGAACCGTAGACTTTCCCCATGGAAATTAGTTGATATTCCGAAAGGCTGCCGTTGTTCTTCGTTTGTTCTTTGAAATATCAGATTCCATTTTCTTACATTTTAAAGTCGGTGTTACTCTTATATGTCAGTGTTATCGATAGCGCCAAACAATAAAATGAATACTAAGAAATAAGGATATAGATCAAGATAAAGCTTTACCTTTGACGCAGAGAATAAAAAAGTATTTTTCCCTTATGGGAACCGGGGCTCTGGCCTGTTTTTGCTACAGAGGAAAAAAAAAGGATAAAGCTCTCTGTGTTAACCAATCCCTGAGGGATGCGCCATACATTCGACTTTATTATGAATCACTAGAGGTGATTGAATGCATATTTGGCCTTACTCGCATGGCCTACCGGTGTGTCGAGTTAGTACTGCTATCCTCCCAGACAGGTCTGATATCAGTTTGTCAACCTCGGAGGGAAGGAAGGCTTGTTGAGCCTAGGGGGCTGTATCGATCCCATGTGTATTGTAGAAGCTTTCTAACCACTGCGCTATACGCGTTCTAGTCCATTATTATTATTTCCTATTAATTACTCGTTGCGATCTACAAATGAATCAGTTTAGAGTTTCATTCTACTGATTGGCACCAAGAATATATTGATATTGAACGAAATCCTTACTACTATTTGTGGGTTCTTATTAAGTACAATGTAAAATTTCAACTTTCTAAAATCCACCATCTCACTAAGGTTTCTCTACTTTGGTTTAAATGATTTCTATACGGAAAGAAATCCACCTGCAGAAAAGAGGGGAAAAAAGCTGACATAGAAGGAAAGTAGAAGAAAACAACACTTACGGGAAGATAAAGCAATGAGCACACCATTTATATCACAAAGCTCTTATAATACACAGCAAGTATCTTTCTTCGTTACGAAAAATGCACAAATGCATTGCACAAATACAGTAATCATACGGTAGTACAGCAACAAGAACAACAACAACAAGTTACTGGACAAATGATTGAAAAGTCGACTGTAGTTGGAAACGATTCTTTGGTAGTTCATAGGGAAAACAGATAAGTCAGTGAAAGCAGAACGCTTGTGAATTCTCGGTACTGTAACCGCCAAGACCTCTGACGTCACCATGGCTTGGTTATAATGAATTTAACACAGGTTCCTCTAGTGAAATGCTCCGTGGAAGAAGGTAGACTTTGTTCAAAGAAACGTGGTGTTGGTTTTTCTTCTCAGAGTGATTCTTCATTCCATCTAAAAGTCTTCGATTTTACGTAGGGAATGCGGTAACCCCACCAACTTTTCACCAGTGTCGAATCATTGATGAGACTTAAGTTACAGTTACAGTTAAGGAATGACAACGAGAAAAAAAAGAAAAATAACAATCCTAAGTTTCTTTTATTTACTGCCTATTCGTTTTGACGGCACGGTATGTTGCGAAACATAATTTCTATAATGCTGAGATATCTGTAAAACTCCGGACCGAAGGTGTCTGCGATGGGGAACGAACGCGCTATTGTCCTTTCCGGGGAGTAACGCGTTCACCACCACACCATGTGAGTCCTTCGTTTCGCCTGTCTCTCAGCTAGTTCTATCGATCTTTTTGCCATCAGCAAACACCCGACAACGGGTTGATCTAAGGCAGTAAATAACTGCCGTTAAAAAGAATAGGCGGTAAATAAAAAAGGTTAAGATTGTGATTATAACTATACCTCAGCTTAACTGGGTTCAATGCCGATTTGGACTCCCCAGATCAATCCTGTTGATGGGAAAAAGATCGATAGAACTAGCTGAGAGACAGGCGAAACGAAGGACCTGCATGGTGTGGTGGTGAACTCGTTACTCTCCGGAAAGGACAATAGCGCGTTCGTTCCTCACCGCAGACACCTGCGGTCCGGAGTTTTGCAAATAACGGCATTATAGAAAAATAACAATATCTATAATAAATAGTAACCGTTTTTATAATTATCTAGGACAGATGATTTGATGAGCACCTGAGCTTGGAATTTATCCATTCATCTGAGGTGAACGTTAGTAAACAGAACCCGTGTTGTACTAGGTATGGAAAAGAAGTAACAAAAAGGTACTGGTATGGTAAAGGTATGGAAAGAAACTCTGAATAGGTTGAATGACGTTGTAACAATCAGAGTCCAACAGCATGCACACTAAGCTCTTCAGGTCGTAGGTCGACGCCCATCCATTTCGTGGAAAATGAGGAAAAAAACTGAGAAAGGAAGGAAGAATGCATTTCATCTAATACAAATCAGCGGGTCATAGAAGGAAAACGGTTTCTGTATGATTCGATTTAAATAGGTTCAGAAACGGAGATGGGTCGGACAGACCTAGCAGGGAGGCGGAACTAGTTCTTAATATCATGCCTCGTAATTTGAAGGAAAAATTGAACAGAACTAAAAACACAGGAGAACGAAGAGAATTGAACAAGGGAAAAAAGGGGAAAGAAAGAGGAGCTAGGGAGAAGAATAAGTGGTTAGGAATATAGACACATATGCACACTCATATACACAAAAGACACGTCTGAGGGTCATTTTTTTTGAAACCTCTTTCTAGTGAGTGGATTTGTGACGTATCGTAGTAGACGTTGTCGTTGTGGATCAAACTCCTTCTGAACGCGTGCTTTTTCGATAGGTTTAGCGTTTCTCCATAAATATTGCACGAAGAGGCGTTTCTTGAAGTCCGGTTTCGGATGTGGATCGTTAACAACACGATCGATCATCGTGACAATACGATGGAATGAAGTGCACGTCTTCCAGAATGAGTAGAATCGAATCACTTTATAGACGTGCGTCAATGGCACAGTACTGTCCCGTAGACGTGCCGACACTCCGCTCACTGAAGACCGAGGCGTCGACGCTGACGATGACGATGCTGCTATTGCAGCCGCCTAAAATTCAAGCGCCGAAAACTCTGGCAAATACAGTATGGCTAAACTTTGAAACCTGGAATATCACAGGAACAGAAAAAGTTAGAAGTGAATTTCACATAAAAGGTTACGATTTTTGCTGTATAAGTTACTAGGTGGCCACTGCACCCTCCTAGTAGGTGAATGATCTTTAACAGCATAGCTTTCCTTTGGTATTTTCCGATTTTTTATAGATGAAAAACATTTTTTAGCACTAACAGCGCTTGAAAGTCATTAACTTTATTCTCTGAATTAGTTTTGTTTGAAGGAACCGAAATTCTACAGAAATTACATCAAAGGATGCTCTATAACTACACCTAAGCAGTAATAGCTATAGTTTTCTCTAGTTGGCGCCCACTATTGCAGTAGTTAAAAAGAAGCTCATAAGGCAACCATAGCAGCTGTGCAGTATACAGTTGGAATCCAGACAATCACGTCAAAATATGGACGAGCGCCACGTTTTTAACACATAGCCTATCTAACGGAATCCGTTATCTTTGAAGTTCTAACTAATTATTTTTGAGACAGCAGCTAGTTGAAAGTACAGTCAGTACATAGGCCTAAATGTGCGATCTTGCCAAAATTTAACGATTGTGGATGCTCACCTGCTGAACATTGCCGGCAAGTTTAGCAGCGATAACCTTGCCTTTTACAGCTATGCAGTTCACACGATAAAACTGCCGAAGATCTTCCGAATAAAAGTATTTGGTCGGTCGTGACGTATGTCGCCACCACTGATCGTCACCGAGTATGTCACCCATTCGAACTTGTTCGCCATCAACCACGAAGCAATAGTTGTCCTAGAAATCCAACTGATACCAATTTATGATTAAGATGTGGAACTAAGATGAAAAGAGAGTTAACTCCACATGAATCAAAACGATCGAACTGAGGTTCCTGACATCTAAACAACTGATATCTCAGGGCATTCTTTCGACGAACATAAAAGAAGGAGGCAAAACAAAGATAAATATGCACTACCTCAACCATTGTAGGCGGTATGGCGCCAGTAAGCATGCTAGACGGTGCTGACATCAAATTCGCCAGTGCCGTTTCTGTTTGTACGGTATCGTGATGTACTGAGTGTACAGGAATGTCCTGAATTTCTACGATTTGGCGCTGTTAACAGTCTTAGCGAAATAACTTTATTACATGCTCCCTTTTTCCGTTTCCTTTAAAAAAGGTTTGTTCAAGGTTTTTTTGAGTGAATCACTTTTCCAATGGACTAGCATGACAACAACACACTAGGTTTAGAAAGTGATGCTGACAAAACCACAATTACAGCGAGTTAATTGCAAAACTTGGACCACAAGCCAGATCGAACCGCGATTATCTGTTCAGTGAGCTGACATGTTACGCACGGTACCACTGACGCCTTTGATTCGCCTTTCTCTCAGCCAGTAGTTGAAATACTATATTTTGATGCCAAAAAGCTACGTTAATTACGTTTGAAGCTTCGTTGCTTTAAATTATTAATAAGCTTAGGATGCAAAGCAAAAAAACTGTCATTACAACTTAATGTCTAAAACAATATACCCTGTAATAGACACTACAAATCCAAAAAGAACTAGAGAAAATGAAAGTCTTGTATAAAATCAATAGAAACCTTATGAAAAATGACTGGCTCCTCTTTTGAGAGCAAAGTTTCGGCAGTCATACCCGAGTCGACCAGCTCGAACGCACCCAAGTCGAAATCCGATCGGTCGGCGTTCTCGTCCTCGGATGAGCTGTCCGTGTGCATGTGGCTAAAACTGAGCATTTCTTTCGATTAGTGTCACAAACCAAGGTAAGAAGGCAGCGGAGAAAAATGGAGAGGAGAAACTCGCTGTGGCCACAGTTTCCTCCACCTCTAAAGAGTTGAGTTACCTGTTAGAAGATTTTACATGAAAATTTTCTTTTCAATCGGCACTAGTAAGGATTCCATTATGTAGCAATTTATTAAAAAAGTAATGGAATGGAAATTAGAGTGTTCTCCTGTATATTCACCAATATTTTTCGATTCATGTTCACTTATTTGATACTTGATACTTGAATGGCCCGTCTTCAATGGTTGTGGGAGCCCCAGAAATCACCATTTTTCGGAGATTTGTTGGTTAATCCATTGTGGCTCCCTGGAATCCTGAGGTCAGCCTGGCCAAAGTCTGCTCCAGGTCTTCACCATCACAAGTAGTCGCAGGACTTCTGGATCAGAGGGAGATTTGCCAGCATGCGACTTTGATACCAGGACGGTGGTGGAACCTGGTATTGATTTACTCTTAGCTAGGCTTCCTGATGGAAACGCCAGAGTTCTTCTCAGCTTAGGAGACCCTGCCGGAGGGACGAATTCACCCGCTGTACATCGCAGACACCCAGAAACACCTCCCAACCACAATGAGGCGGTAAACCGTTGAGAGGTTCATGTTCACTACGTCATACGAAATCAATAAGTTTGTCGTTGGCCTTGTTATTACTACCGCTATAACAAAATTGATAACATGATATAGTAGTAATTTCAACAAATCTGAGTAAAATAGTATATTAGTCAGAGAATAATGCAGAACGTCAACCAATTCAAACATTTTCACTAAATCGCCTTAGCTCCTTAGTGTTTAAGTGCTAGTTATTCTAGAGTGGGAAACTCATTCACGAATTTTGTGTTGGATTTCACACGAAGCCCTGTAAGGCGGGAAAGAACGAACCGTCTTTTCTCAAACTTTTTCTTTTACATGACCCGTCTTCACGTTTACTGTGCGGTTCCCAGCACTTCTCACATTCGATTCGTTTCCACGCATCCATTGTCCACGAAAATCTCCCAATTTTACGTGTTGCTTTGGTTGTTGCTTGAGGATTTTCATTTCATCTTGAATGTTGTAGAATGCTAGTCGAACAATTCCCTCTGGAGTCCTGAGATAGTCGAGCTGGAGCGCTCCCAAATGGATTGCAGAGAGTGATTTTTTTCCCAGACGAGTCCGGTCCCGATTTCCCGACCTCGAAGGGATGAGAGTCTTGGTTGGCCCGGAGCGGAATGGAACTAGCACCACACCTATGATGACTGACATTACTATCACTGTGCTATCCGCCTCTTGTTTCTTTAACAAACTATGAAATTAAGTGGCATCTTTAGATGGAACTCTGCAATAGGAGAAAAATTATCGTAAGAGTTATCTGGTCTTTTCAAATGTTTCCTTAAAAAATAGCTTTGACAAAAAGGTTTTAATGTACATGTTCAAATAAGCTTTTCCTACTGACCACGCAGAAAACATTGGGTTCATTTCTCCTACGACGGTCTCGTTAAAAAATAGACTGAATCATAGCAGTTAACAGAAAATCGGAATGTAACGTAAAACCACACAAGAATATAAGTGCTAATATGTATAAAATCACAAGTACAGTACCTGACAACGCCAAAAAATAATGTGAAGCATTAAGAAGATGTGCGATCTTTACCGACATAACACAAAAGTGAAGTAAAGTGAGTGGACGCGTGTATGTGCAAAATATTCATCCTCGTTATTCCCATCACCACCACCCTTCCTATTCCCATTACTTCTACCTTCTGACGAGACACTCGTTCTTCTTAGTAATGCATATGTACAGCGAGACGCACAAATACAGCTAAAACAACTTATTAAAGGATAAAGGATAAAGCTCTCGGCGTTGATCAATCCATGAGGAGATGCGCCGTGCATTCGACATCACTAAGAATCGTTGGAGTTGACTGAATGCATATCTGGCGCGTACAATGACTCGTGGTGGCCTACCGACGTATCGTGCCAGCGCTGCTATCCTTGCAGACAAATCTGGTACCAATTTGCCGACCCCGGAGGGATGGAAGGCTTTGTGAGGCTGGGGTGCGGGGACCGATTCCATGTGTATTGTGGAGCGCCAACAAGGTATGTTCTTAAAAGGCATCAAGTTGAAAAAAGTCTTTGTGCTGAAGCATCTTATGTACATATCATACTATAAGTCTTTCAACTAGGCTTCATTACGTATCACCTAGTTAAACTCCCAAAAAAGTTAAATCGCAAGAGGATTATGTAAATGGAAGTTTCCAATTTTAACTTATTATTTACTGCCTGGAGGCGTGTGTGGTGCAGTGGTCGGAGGCGCCCTGCAACACACACGTGAAATTTAATGGAATGGTATGCTGAAAAATATAACATCAATGATGCTGAGATATTTGTAAAACTTCGGACCATAGGTGTCTGCGGTGGGGAACGAACACGCTATTATCCTTTCCGGAGGTTAACGCGTTCAGCGCCACACCATGCGGGTCCTTTGTTTCGCCTGTGTCTCAGCTAGTTTTATCGATCAGTGCCATCGGCAATCGCCTATCAATGGGACTGATCTAGGGAGCCCAAATCGGCAATGAGTCCAGGTAAGCCAAGGGTGTAGTTTAAATCACAGTGCTAACTCTTTACTTGCTACCTAGTATAACTTTTCACGGCAGGGTATGATGCGAAATATAACCACAATGATGCCGTGATATTTGCAAAACTCCGGACCGCAGGAGCTGATGGCATTGATCGATAGAACTAGCTGAGAGACAGGCGAAACGAAGGACCCGCATGGTGTGGTGGCGAACGCGTTAGCCTCTCTAAAGGGTGATATCGCGTTCGTTTTCACTACAGATACACCTGCGGTCCGGAGTTTTGCAAATATCTCTGCTTCGTTGAAGTTAAAAGTTTTCACTCCTAAAACATGGTATAATATCTAAGAAAGCTTATTGAGTATTAGCCTGGTTCGATCTTGCGCTATGAACTTAATAAACTTCCATCTCTCTGTTATCAACAAATTGGTAGAAGATTTGCCTGACAGAATAAAAGCGCTGACTCGATGGGCGGTAAGACAATCAATAAGGTCCCATTACCTACCGCAAGATAGTAAGGGATTTAACTTTATTCGGAAAATATTTTGGATCGAAGTAGAGATAAACACCTTGTGGTATGAGTTTCAAATAAAAAGCGAAAAAGCAAGGAAAAACCAATAACCTCGTCATTTCTTGTAGCTCACTGTAATGTGACACGTGTTCACGCTTCTCTGGCACCACCTCGATCTCCTTCTCCACTTCCATGTAAACAGGAGTATTAATTCGGGGCGGTTCATTTGTTGATGATCTCAATGAGAGGTGAACCCATGGCGGACTCGGTTCCCGAGGTGGAGTTGATACACATGATGTTGATGGTAATATATTTGGACTAGTCTCAAATGGAGGCATAACAGGAGTGGGTAATCTTCGAATAGGAGACAGATGAACTGTGGGTGGTGAATGATGAGGAGGCGGTGCTGGATCTTTTGGTGGAGGAGTTGCAAAAGTGGGTGATTGTGAAAGTGGAGGTGGAGATGAAGCAGGTGGTAACAGATCTGGCGTAGGAACAGGTGGACTGTGCGGAGTAGCGTTTTTCTGTGGAACTGGACGAAGCAGAATCGGCACCGACTCGCGGAGTTGTGGAGGCGAGCTAGCGGTCGCCGTCGATGATGCCATCATCAGCGTTGGTGTCTTCTCGTAGACGACACTTTAAACCAATCAGTAAGCATGCGAGTGAAAGTTGCGAAGCTATTCGAACATGATGAGGTTCTTTGCCGTGAATGCATAAACAGAAAGGTGGACCAAAAAAAAGTACACTCCCAAGCAGAAGCTTGATGACGAACAATGGAAAGGTGTTGAATAGTAAAAGCGACAGAAAAGAAAAAAGTATTTAAACAGCTGCACGGTAAATATCTTACCTTTCATGGGGCCTATTGTACTCCTCTAACATTCTTATATAAGAATCCCAACTCTCCATGCATGACAATCCGATTGGCTAAACAATGATTAACTTCAGATGAAATAGAAGGTGATATTTAAAACACAGTGATAACATCGGCGACAATGGAAACAACATTATCGATTGACAACGCGAAACATATCGATTTCTGCACGGAAATCGATACGCATCACGTTCAAATCACTGTCGCCGTTATACGTTCACTAGGAAATCACTGATAATGGAACCGATACAATACGATTTTTCCTAACATCACTTATAAAACATGCATTCATTAGTAGTTATAAGCTTTACAGACAAGAATCTGGATGCATTACAAGGAAAAGCTATAAGGCAAAGCAAAAATTTACTAAGCATGCACTTAGGATAAAAGTTATAGCTAATGTTCCGCATTCCATGCATATCTCTAATGAACACGGAGCCTGCCGCTTTGTGTGTCGGAGGCTTCAGGTAGGGAGTACTTTCAACACTGATTTTCATCCATCGTCAGTACAAATAATCAATATCCTGGTTTTAGGTTTAATTTACTGCCTATTCTTTTTTCACCGAAGCGTACGATGTGAAATTCAACAAGAAGGATGCTGAGATGTTAGCGAAACTGAGAACCTCAGTAGCGCTTTGAATGACAGTTGTCTCACTCGGAGTCTCACGTGCTTTCCACTAGACCAACCCAGGCCCTTGCTTTGCTTTTCACTCAGCCATACTAATATCCCAGCTTATCGATAAGCTTACACGAAGTTCTTAACAAATCTTTACTGCGGCTAACATCTCGGCCACATTGCTTGCTACAGGGCCGCAATTAATCGAGTTTAATTCCCACAAAAGTTATTTTTAACGATAGTCGTCTTTGCAGTCGCATCGAATCGAATCCAGTGAAGTATGGTGCAAATGAACTGGACTCATCTAGCATTACCGTTCTGGCTCCAGCTAGAATGAAGGGACCACTACAGACGGTTCGCCAGTTACAAAACCGCTCATTCTTATTCAAATCATTGCAACTCTGAAGAAAATGATAGTGCTGCACTAATTTCGTGTAAGCTTATCGACAAAGATAGCACCGTTCACTTAAAAGTTTTAACGATGATAATACATTTTTTAAGCAACAACGTAAAGTCAACGAAAATTCAAGCATCTTGTGAATTTTTTCGCACACGGTTAACAAGTCACAAAGCCGTAAAAGCAACTCACAGTACGCGGACTGACAAGCACTATGGAAGCAGCATTGGAAACCGTTCCACGTACATGCTCGAACAGCTTCGGTAGATCGTTTTTGACGAGTTGCATCACACGAGGACTCACATTCAACCAGTCCACGTTATGCAGTGGATCTTTCATTTTCGCTAGTCGCTGTTTTTTCTTTCGCTGCATGATCGGTTTTGTATGATCCTCTTCATTGTGCACGGACACATTCGACAAGCGGCGATTCTCAACGATTGGAAACAGAGTAGTATGAAATCGAGCAAAAGCGTTTGACGGCGGCGATGAGCACTCGCCTAACTGTAACCGAGGCACCAACGTCTCATGCATAGACGTCGGTGAAAAGCATTGCGAATAGCAAAAACTGGAATCCGCTTGAAACTCGCCGCTAATCGGTACTAACTGCGTCACCGGTATCGGCTCAAATTCAGAGGCGATTTCCGGAGGCGGAGATTCACACTGAGCGGCGAGTTTCGAGAGCATGAATGGCTCGGAGATGCGGAAGGAGAGCGGCGCAGAGTGCAATAACGGATTGCTGGTCGGCGACGAGCAAATGCGAGCATGGCATCGTCCTGATGCCGGCACGCTACGTTGTGGATTGCTTACAGATTCTGAAGGCGAAGTGAGTCTAAGGCTTGACGGACATGAGTAAAGACGTCGTGAGCGACGAGCCGACAAAGCTGCAAAAGGAACAGAAAATTATTAGGAAGAAACTTTCTTGTATTTCAAACTCGAGCTTTCCTAGTAGTATTTTTCTTCGACTCGCTCTCATATATCCATAAATGTTAAAGGGATACCTGCCTGTTTTTTTGCTTTTCAAATTTTTTCGCAGAAATTCTTTTAAGCTTACAACGTGACGACTACTTCGGCCGAACCCACAAGTCCAACATTCAGGTTTATTTTCCTTCATAAAGAAATTCTCTTAGAGCTCAAAAAAAAGAAAAATAAAGAAGAAAAAGAAAAGCGCAAGTTCTGGGCTATTCGCAGAATATAAAACGGTTTTCTCAATAAGTGTCTACAGCGGTTGGTTAGCTGTGAAAGACACCGTGATCAATTACCAGGTTACCCCGGCTGCTTACCTCCTATACATTAACCAGGAGACGAAGGTAACTGGTGTCAGCATTGACGAGTTCGCTTCTTGTCTCTGTTTTGCCTTTTTTGGACTTCCTATTAAATCATCTAGTTCCATTCCCAAAACAAACAAACTTTAAAGATCTGAGAGCACGGTCTCAACCGAAAAAAGGGTGTTTCAACAAGACAGCCAGAAAATGAAGAAGGTATCGATTTGGTAGAGTCATAAGATCTCATATTTCTTTATTATATTTCCCAGGATCTTTTTTTAAGATATAGCATCAGAGAATGAAAATTTTCCTTGTTGATCAACGTTGATCAGCCAGTATGAACTCCACTGGGCCATCGCTTTAACCTAATCGAGAGCATGCAGGTACTTCTCGATTAAATAGTAGTGATAGACGAGTTGTTCTCGACGAACAAGTTTTCATAGATGATGATTTCTCTATGAACCAGTACTGCTTTTTTCACTCAGAAGGAAAAATGAAATCTTCTACAACGCACTTTCAAATAGTGCAATTAGGGCAAACCTTCATTATATCACTGATAAAAACCTTGTTTAAAGCGTAAACTGAGTTTCGAAACTGCGCTATAATGCGAAAATGAGGAAGAATGGGAAAAGGCAGAGATGAACGAACGTGAAATCTTCGCATCATTACGGCATTTCCCCCACGTGATGTTTTCTCTCACAGAAATCGAAAAAATTTTTGATGACGTCATTTCCAATTTCATTAAGCCATTTTTCCTTCGAAAGCGTAGAAAAGAACCCCATTCACCGATAAGTTGGTAGTCCGGACTTGGTATTGGTATATCGTAATCAAACGATAACAATGACGCTGTCGGTGATTGGTAGTTGTCCCAGTAGGCCTGAATAGTAATTATTTAATAGTGACTATAGACACGAAAAGGTAAAGTGAAAGATAAAAGCATAAAAGCAACGTAAACAGATTATTTAAAAGCTTTGAAGACATCAAGCGGAGTAAGAGGAAAATCGCCTATGGAACCTAACCGTTTTCTCGATGTAGCTCGAACTTGACCTAGGTTCTAGTTGAATTCAATTCAATATTTAACATAAATAATAATATAAACAAATGACGGAGAAAAGTAAGACTCCCAACGTCGATCGATCTCAAAAAGATGCGCAATGTATTCTCATCCATTCATAGCACAATAAAAGTGATTGAACGTGCATTTTGACTATACAGCGACTTGCCGTGGCCTATCCATGAATGTATCGTATCAGTGTTGTTTATCTTCCCATAAAAATGTGCCTCTAACTTTCTGACTCTAGAGGAATGGAGGATCATGCTTAGCTAGGGGTATCAGATTCAAGCAAAAAACAAGGTGTGTATTGCAGAAAACTTCTAACCACTACGCTAGTCGCGCCGCACTACTGATGTAAATTAATAGAGTTATTAACATTATTATCAATGACAAAAATAGCAACAAAACTCACTTGTCTGATATGCACTGATGGGTCAGTGGAAAGAGAGCAGTGCTCGGAAACGGATGGACCGGATTCCTCCAGCGATTCACCATGTGAACGCTTGAGCAAACTGAAAGCATCGAATAAGGCAGAATCACATAAATCCTTACTAAGAAACGACGACGATAGGTACTGAAGGTGAGTACTTCAACTATGAACCATCAATTGCTCACAACCAATTTTTCTTCTGTAAATAAAAATTACATAGAGGAAGTCTAAATCTATTAAGTGTAAATGAATAGCTAGTCATAAACCCTGCCTCAGACCTGACCTTTGAACTTTTGCCTGGCTGTTTCTATTTTTCCAACTATTCCTATTCTTCAACATCAAATAGTAAGGTAAATACAAACGAATAAAGTTAAGGAATAATAAACTTCCTAAATCCATCTAACATTTTTTATTGGCGTAAAATTTGTTCCCGCGCATACTAAATACGAATATTTAATAAAAAACAAGAGAGTAAGAAATTTAAAACGACTCACAGAGATCTGGCGGAAGCTGACGAATTACTGTAGGTGCTGGGAAGACGATAACTAAAAATCGATAATATTGATCGGCGGCTATGTATATCCACTTTGCTACTCACTAAACCTGTTAAATTACTTCTTTTATAAAGGGAACGGTAAAAAATACCTTCTAATTGAAAGAACATTAGGTGAAGGCACACGAACTGTTATTGGAAAATCATAACTATAACGACTGCTAATTAACGCATCATCGATTTGCCATCTGAAAAAACCGTGTGAAAAAGTAACAAGGAAGAAAAAGAGAAGAACGAAAAAAAAAGGAAGAAGAAGAGAAGAAGGAAGAAAAGGAGAAAAGAGAAGAAGAAGAAGAAAAGAAAGAAGAGCAGAAGGAAGACGAGGAGGAGGAGAAGAAAGAAATGGAGAAAAAGGAAGAAGAAGGGAGGAAGGAAGAAAATAAAAGGTAACAATAAAGATGAAGTGAAAGCTCAACAAGTGAAAGAGAGGTTCGTATCACTTACTCCAAATCGTTTAACGTTTTGTCTTCTTCCCACTGCTGATCAACCAATGATGGCTCAGATCTGAAGGAAAAACAGCATGATAACTTCCAATACAAAGTGATAACAACAATAATAATAATTGCACACAAAGTAATATTTCTTCGTGATAACAGTAAGAAAACCGCTTAATGATCCACTTAATAACTCGTTGCCACGTAATGGTAAAGTAATCTTCTTCGATATCGAACTGGAATAAACGGCGGGACCTGTATGACCTTCCACCCCTAACATGGCATGATCTCTTTAGTTGAAGATAAGAACGACATCGTCGTGCATGCACTTCAGCTGAGAATGAACCTGTGCTAGAAAGTGCTATCATCCTGGAAAAATTCTGCTCGCAAAGCAGCGAATCTTTGTGATCCACAGTTAAGGGCGAACTCCTTCTTTTGATAACGACCATAGAACCACCTGGCATGGTTGCTTCGGGAATGCAAACAGAAAAGTTCCAGCTGCACTACTGAAAGTCAAGTAGGATGAAAGTGATAGTGTCTGCTCGATTTGTAAATGTGGGAATTCCAGCGTGAGGTTATATTTATATCTCATAGCCTAATTTGCTTATGTTGCAAAATACTGTGAAAAAACTACTTAATTATAAAAACTACACTATTCTTACTACTTATTACATTTTCAAGAACTAGAGCTACGGAATACAATGAAACAAGCATGTTGTCTATACAAAAGTAAATATGGAAGCGTAATTATTTACTTATTAAATAGTTGACAACGAGAAAACTGTAGACATTTAGATGGTCCGTCTGGTAGTGTTCCCAGCATTTTCTGCTCTCGTTTCGTTGTTCTGTTACAGAAATAGCCCGGTAGGCCATGGTGATTCGGCAGCGGTTAGATCATCTGTGGTCTCATCTCCAAATAGACATTTCGAATCGCTTTGACATATCGCTCATTGATCTTCACCAAAGGGCATCGTTGGTCAACCAAATGGCTGTTCTACATGGAGCCGAACATAGCTGCGTTTGGAAATTCATACTCTCAAATTCTTCACCACAAGCGATTACTGACCACTGTGAAACGGAAAGACGTTTGGTGACCCTAGCGATTAAGATTCTTTCAGGACGATAGCGATTAGTCAGTGGACAACTGATCGTGAACGTCGATGTAATCACGAGTCCCAGCAGTGCAAAGTGATAATGAGAAAGAAAAAAATGTGGATGACTGAATGTCGAAGCGGAATATGGCCGTATGACTTACATTTGTTGCTGCATTTGCTGGATGTACATTTGGAGGATTTCATCTCCTTGGCCCATCGCTAGGCGTCTCTCGATCATTCGCTTACGCCTCAGCAGCTGAAGCAGATCGGTGCCGCGAAACTGAAAACGCTGCAGACTGCTGAGCAGTTCATTCGTGCAACTCAAAGAAAGCGTTTTATTTTTAAAACTATTACAAAAAAATCGATGCCAATCGGTTCAAAAAGATCCAATCAATAGAGCAGCTTAATACTTGAATTACTTTATCATTACGTATTCCCAATTTTTTACGGGAGCGTGTGGCGCAGTAGTCGGAGGTTCCCTGCAACACACACGTGGAATCGATCCTCGCGCCTATGGCCCACCAAGCTTTCCATACCTCCGGAGTCGGCATGGTACCAGAGTTGTCTGCTAGGATAGCAGCGCTGGTTCCATCCATAGGTAAGCCACCGCGAGTCATTGTAAAGGCCAGATATGCATTCAGTCACCTCCAAACTATGCTTGATGAATTCGAATGCATGGCGCATCGATCAGGAATTGATCAACGCCGAGAGCTTTGCCCTTCATTTTTATTCAACAATAGTTATTTAGGGTTGTTACATCACCACCTTAACATTTTCGCTATCACAGAGTTATAGCACTGACTGTTCAGCTATTTTTTTGTATTTTCCAAATCTCACTAGATCTTTGCTCTAAAAAATATTCAGAATGTTCATTATATGATGTATATTAGCAATTTTTTTACCAACTTTTCTACCGAAGTAGTGAATTTTCTGAATATACTGTATGCCGACTAAGTCGATACACATTGTTGTCACTGCCAAGCCAACACCAAGATAGACAAGCATTAAGACGATATAACTGCAAAAAGTACTACAACAGAAAATGTCCTGCAACAAAATATTTCAGACCTTCACTTTCCAAATAAGGACTAGAAAAAACTCTGAAATGAAAGAAATGGACTCACTCATGATTTTCAGGGACAATATCGCCAAATCCTATTGTAGTCAATGAGATGAACGCTGAAGAACGTCTCTTTTACCCTTTCTAGTTCTTCCTTTCCATTGTTATTCCATGTTATTCCAGTGTTTGCAAATTCTCATTATACGACTAATAATTATGTAAACGAATTATGTGCGATTTTAGTACATGAAATATGAGCAATGAGAACTACTAGTACTGCAAAGTACTAGTTGGTAGTAGTACTACAGGGCTCAAAAACAGAACTAACGCATGAAATCCTTAAGAACCTAAAGTTGTCTGAGTTTTTTCTTTGAGGATTTGAAAAGATTCTCCATTTTTTACAAAATTTCGAATTTTTTTTTTTTGAAAACTTGGGATCGGAAAAATCTTTGAAAGCTTTAGGTTTGCTCGCCTCCTAATCGTTTTTGAAACAATCCTACATAACAGCAGGTTTCAGTTTTCTCCTAAATGTTTAAAAATCATAAACATCCAGCACTTGCCTCCCAACGGTTTGCCACCTCATCGCGGCTGGGGTATGTTCCTGGCTATCGGGTTTCGATGTAAAGCAAGAGGATTCATCCTCCCAGCAGGCATTCCCAAGCTGAGTCCGGCGTTTCCATCAGGCTAGGAGTAACCCAATATCAGGATCCACCACCATCGTAGTATCAAACTAGTCGCATGGTGGCAAATCTCCCTCTGATTCACAAGGGATGCGAGTGCTCGTGGTGGTGAAGACCTGGGGCAAACTTTGGCCAGGCCGACCTCGGGAGTCCAAGGAACCACAATGGCTTAGCCAGCAAATTTTGAAAGTGATGATTGTGTTGTGACTCCACAACTAGTGAAGATGGGCCGCTCAAGTGTCAGGTAACTAACTATCCAGCACTTGTGATTTTGATCAATTCTGCTAATCAGATCACTACATTAGATCTTCGTGTTTTACGTTAGTGATTTTAACAAAATTATTTTGCTATGCGCTGTCTCAAAAATTACGCATTAGATATGAGATTTCTGGAAAACTCACAATAATAAAACGCATCCATATAAGTCCATCCCTCAAGAAATGAGAATAGAACTCCACCGAAGGCAATATAGAGCTAAAATTTTATAGAGTCAACAAATATTTGATATGGAGCTAACACGTTGTTTATATAAGATAGAAGAAATAGGGGCTGAAATCGTTTTGACTGCACAGAGCACAATAAAGAAAGAAAATCACCGCTAAGAATTTATGCTACCGAAGAAAAGTTTGATAAAACTAAAGTAGAACGAAATCTGTTTAAGGAGTGATCTCAAACGAGCAGTAGATCCATGACTGCTAATTGTGTTCAGAGAGGAAGATTTATCGAACACGCTACTACCCTTTTCGGGGCTAACGCGTTCACCACCACACCATGCGAATCCTTCGTTTTTTCATTTTTTTTTTGTAGAAAATTGACACTTTGATTTCAGCTGCAGCCTCAGCTTAACTGAGTTCAATGCCAGTTTGTGCTCTCCAGGTCAATCCCATTGCCAGGTGATTGCTGATGGCACTGTTAGATTGAAAAACTAGTTGAGAGAAAGGCGAAACGAAGCACACGCATGGTGTGGTGGTGAAGGCGCTAGCCTCGGAAAGGGTGATTGCAAGTTCGATCCCTACCGCAAATACCTGCGGTCTGGAGTTTTGAAGATATCTCAGCATCATTACGAGTAGGGACAGTTTCAAAAAACTGACTTTAAAAAATTTGAACAAACAATAGGAAACCTACTAAAAGTATGGTGAACACCATGAACACAGGTACTTCCGTTTTGTCCATGACCAAATCTTCCCAGTCAATTGTTGGTGAGCTTGTTGCCTGTGATTCGGCATCAATGGATTCTGTGAAAAAAACTGCTTTCGAGATTTTCGATGGTATGGGGGCAACGTAATGGGTGGAGCTCGCCACATTCGAAATGGGCGGAGCTTCCCAGATCATGTGGAGGGGACATTTTCCTAATGAACTCAAAAACTTCGATTCAAAAAAAGCAAAAGAGATACTGATTGTTGAGCTGGGAAAGATTTCACTCACCTTTATTAAGTCCTCGAAATCGCCGCCAACGGCCGTGAAGCAGTGATCGTGCCTTCTTCATCTCTTTATGCAGCCATATTGTACATTCAGAAAGAAATTTTCCCAAATCTTAAACAAAAGCAATAATGAGTGAATTATCGAAATCATGGTGTAGTGCTCTTCGTAAGGCTTAAAATATCGAAAGCCTTTGGACAGCTGTGCACCGTCATAACTGATAAAGCTCTCCGTTATCAGTAACTTTTTAATTTCTAAGTAAAACAAGCATTGTCTTAAGAAAAACGGTACCTCCAATTGTAATTATGGCTAGTGGAGCACCGAACAATGCGAATACTACACAAGCAATACGACCAGATGATGTCGCCGGAACGATGTTTCCATAACCTGAATATTTTGCTACCATAGAAGGGTTGTATAATAAATTGAGCAAAAACAGTGATTTAACAATAACAACTACTATTTTCGCCTTTTAAACAGCTTTCCTGAGAAATGAAAACATCGAGGAAGCAAGTTCTCGGGATTTACTCCGATTTTTACAATGTACTTCACATCTCCTGGGATATTTCCTTATGGTATCGGTTGGCTGGGTATCGGACTTCGATATGAAGTTGTAGAGTTCATATCATAACAAGATTAACCAGAATTGGAAGGAGTTCGACATTTCTATGGCAAATCGTAATTAGAGAGGAAGCCCATATTTCAGAAAAACCGGACGAGGTTTTCGTTGATTTCTTCTCACTAAAAGCCACACAAAAAAGGGTTTCATACAAAAAACGTGATAATTTCCGTGTGCTCTCGAACGCCCTGAGTTAGTAGAGCAGCCCTGGCTTGGGATGAGTGTGTACGAGTGTGGACTTAACTGCTGCCATTTGATGTCACTCTATCATTAACGGGATAAAAGAATAAAGGATAAAGCTCTCGGCGTTGATCAATCACTGCGGGATATCCCATGCATTCAACTTCACTAAGCATCGTTTGGAGGTGATCGAATGCATATCTGGCCTTTACAATGATTCACAGTGGCCTACCGATGTATCGAGCCAGTGTTGCTATCCTTCCAGACAAGTCTGGTACCAATTTGCCTACTTTGGAGGAGTGGAAAGCTTGGCGGGCCATGAACGCGGTAATCGATTCCACGTGTGTGTTACAGGGCGTCTCCGACCACTGCGCCACATGCGCCCATCCTTAACGGGATACAGGGATATAAAGTGCTTCGTTAACAATCCTTATCTTACAAAAGCTTAATGAACCCACTATTTAACCACTGCTTGTAGAATTTTTATAGGAAAAATCACTAAAAATAACCGATAGTAGCCATTGTGGTGGCAGCAAAAAACAACGCACTACTGGCCGTCCACATCTTATCACTTTTTTCACTGCGTAATTTGGTGTTCCTGGAAAAAATCATTCTTTTGCTTGAGTGATAAGTAATTTACCTATTGATCGATAATTGTTTCTGATGTTGAGACTACTGATCGACAGGGACAGAAATGATTCGAAGGAAAAAACATAGAATGCTATTAACCAACGTCTCGACAATAGACGTTTTTCATTCCTTTTTAGACAAAACAAGCTGAAACTCATTACTCGGTTGTTCGTAGATCAAACTTTTGAGAGCGAGTAAATTAGTAATTAAGCTTTTTTACTTCACCTATGCCTCTTCAGACGGTCCAGCTCTCCCAGTTTCAATCGCTCACTATGAGGAACAACGTGCACGTCGGCATATCTGCAACACGGAGAAGTTTTCGAAAAAAGAACCTTTTTGAATTTTCTTAATATTGAGCTTACCTCACGTATTGTTCCTTGAACGCTCTATAAATTTTGTCGTTGAATCTATATAATTCCTTCTCAATGGAGTTTCTCCAGAGTTCTTCACTGCCCCGTCCTAAAAAGTAGCGTGGAGACAATAAGAGCAATGGAAAGCATGCATATTGATCGGCTGCTTTTCTGCGTTTTCTTCAACGCGCATATTCTTGCACATCACGCTACACATCATTATTCACCATGAAAAAAGGATAAAGCTCTCGGCGTTGATCAGTCCCTGAGGGATGCGCCATACAATGCTATTTGGCCTTTATAATGACTTGCGGTGGCCTACCTATGGAACGAGCCAGCGCTGCTATCCTCGCAAACAACTCTGGTACCAATTTGCCGACCCCGGAGGGATGGAAGGCTTACTGGGCCATGTGTTCGTGGATCGATTCCACGTGTGTGTTTCAGGGCGCCTCCGACGACTGTGCTACACGCGGCGTTCGCGGCATGATTAAGTGAATAGAGAAGAGTAGAAGGCGGATAACAGGATTCTGACAATGCAATCTCTTTTTTAAAGAGAACAAAATGGAACTTCTAACGAAGATTTTGTCTTAAATGAACTCACCATGTCGAATCATTGAGATCAAATTGTTCCGCATGTCACCAATCAACGCTTTGCCAACTGTTTTCAGCTGCAAGGAAAAGTCAGTACTGATTAAATGAAAGTTTTAGAGTAATACGAAGTAGAAGCTTAATCTCTTTATTTACTGCCTGCTATAATTTTTAACGAAAAGGTATCATGTGAAATACAACTAAGATAATGCTGAGATATTGGCAAAACTCCGGACCGAAGGTGTCTACGGTGGGGAACGAAACCGATTTGGGCTTTCCAGATCAAACCCGTTAACGAATGATTGCTGATGGCATTGATCGATAGAAGAGACAGGCGAAATGAACGACCCGCGTGATGTGGTGGTGAATGCGTTAGTCCCCGGAAAGGATGACACTACGTTCGTTCCCACCGCAGACACCGAAACTCCAGTCCGGAGTTTTGCAAATATCTCAGCACGATTTTGGTTGCATTTCGCATAATACCCTGCCATAAAAAATTGTAGTAGGGAGCAAAAAAAAGTAAGTATTATTTTCAGAATAATTATTGAGATGAGATATCACCTATTGAGTGAGATATGATCAAACCTATGCGCTCTAGATCATTCTCGTTAACGGTGATTGCTGATAGCACCGCTAGAGTAAGAACAGAGCTAAGAGAAAGACAAAGCAAGGGCATCGGTTGGTGCAGTTGGTAACACGTGAGACGAATAATCGGTTATCATGGGTTCAATGCTCATCTAGGATTCAGATTTTTCAAACACCTGAGCATCATTTTCGCTAAATGAATCATATTTTGTAATTTTACTCTTTACTGCTATTAAGCTAAGGTTTCGGCATTTCTGCAAACGACAACTCTGGCGATAATAAGATCCCGTTTATCCTGCTCTTAATTTCAAACGAGCTGTAAGCCGCGGAAAGGCAGACAGTGGGTTCGAAGCCCAACTAAGGTGCCAAGCATTGTTCATACCTCATCATGCTTGTGTTTGTAGTTCATGTAATGTTTTGCAATGAAAAAGAATAGGCAGTAAATACAACAGCTAAATATTTTGAGTATAACCATTAGTGTGATTTAATAATCCATTCTCTTAATTTTTTGTTGTAGAAACACCATGTGTAAGCGTCATCATTAACTGTCATTATCGTGCAAATGGGCTTCGATCCTGCAATTAGCTCCAAGAAAAAGGCACTACTAGTGATGGAAATGATTGTTTTTGTACCCTTTTGTTCAGAAAAAGCTCATCTATAGCTTTTTTATCAGAAATCTTCTGAAGAAGAGAAAACAAAAAACGACGATACTAAGGCCATTTCGATCGACATAAAGAATTTCTATTATGAGATCCAAAATATATTCCTATTCTCAGAGGTCGGACAGCACAGTGGTACTGGTGTCCGTCATTAGGAGCATAGTGCTACTTCGATTCCATTGCGGGCCAGCCAAGCCCCTCATCCCTCCGGGGTCGGAAAATTACCGGACTTGTCTGGAAAAAAATCACTCTCTGAAGTCCAATTGGAAACGCTCCAGCCCGGTTACCTCATGACTCAAGAGAGAATTGCTCGACCAGCATTCTACGACATTCAATATGAAATGGAAATCTTCAAGCAGCAACCGAAGCCACACCTAGAATTTGGTGGACCTTCGTGGACAATGGATGCGAGGAAACGAATTGGTCGTGAGAAGTGCTGGGATCCGCACAGTAGACGTGAAGACGGATCAAACAACAGTGAAAGAAGTAAAAAAATAAAAAATCCTTATTTTCTGTAAAAAAAGAGTAAAGCTCTTAATTCTATGGTTCACTAGCATTTTACTATATTGGTCATTTTTAAATAAATATTGAAACTCCTACAATTTTATTAGCAATGATTTATTGAACTAAAGACAATAAGATCCAGACAAAACGCTGTCAACTTACGGGATTTTTATTGTTACCGAAGTTTTTCATTTCTCCCCTCTTCCATTTCAGATTCTCCTTCAGGTATTGATTGAGCACAGAAGATTTTTTTCTCTTATTTCGCTCTATTTAATTAATAAATTAATAAAGTAATAATAAATAAAATTTTTTGAGTGTTAATGGACCTAAACAAAATACATTTCTCCGAAGTTTTCTGTGGAAATGCGGAGTTTCATGAGAAGAGGCGGGAATCATGAGTGTGGAACAAAAGTTCTAATCTGGATCTATCAATCAATCAATAAAGAGGAGTGTGGATCGTTTGGCCTGGAAGTGTTGGTAGGTTGATGTCTGTTAGTAAACTGTCTCATCGCCGTTACCAAAAAAAAAAACAGAGAAAAAGAAACAAGGAAAGGAAACAACTCACTCGATCTTCGTTTGGTGATTCGAGCCGGTAAAAAATATAGGCGCCAATCATGGCATACAAACATACAACGGCAACAAGAGCCACATGTGGTAGTACAAGTTTTACGTACTGAAAGCAGTACAATTTTCTCGTTCAAGTTTATCTGTGGCGAAAAAAGCCACTCGATATAGATGGGGTTTCTTTTCCATGTTCTACTTCTTTGGTCTAAAACACGTTGCCGTTCCGCAAATCCAGAAATTTGCAACGTTATAGCAGGGAGCCAGTCGTGAGATGGTGACAAACCTCACTCCAATCTTCAAACCGACAGCGGCTGGTGCTAGTTTCTGAAGACTTTATGAGGGAAAGATCCCGCCAAATCAACTCGACATATTACAATAGCGATTAAGATTCTACTATGGGCATTTAAAGTTTCTAATAATTCGATTAGAAAAACACGATTGGTGGATTCTTTTATGAAAGACAAACCTCTAACGCTTAACAAAAACTGGGCGAACGAATAAGAGTTCTTGTGGGTTCGCGCAGGATGAGGGTGTCGTCGTACTGTCCCCTAATATTGTGCACATGGCGCGACACCGCATTGCGCTGATTTGAGGATGATGCGATTTGTCATTATGTGACTGGCTACCTTTTTGATTCGTGTGGCTGCATCGTCGGATTTCGGATGTGTACTCGATTCCAACAATCCTTCGATTTCGCGAAGTTGTTGGTCCATGGAGCTCTTAGGTG